TCATTCAGTCATCCACTGCTGGCTCCTTCAGTCACCCACGGGCTCATTCATGCATTCCCTCACTCATTCATTCATTCGATGGCTCATTCATTCATTCACTGATTCAATCACTCACTCACACACTTAATTCTTTCTCAATTTACTCACCCACTCATCAATCACTTAACCTAATCAATAACTATTTAAGGGACAATTTTACTACTACAGGCACCTCATAGACTGAAGATCCAGCTTTAAAAATGACAATAAATCCCCCAACCTCAGGGATGCGGAATTCTAGTGAGGAGACAAACATGTAAACAAGCCTTCAGTTATAAAGTATACAGTAAGGAAAGCAAACAAGGCAGAAAATCATCTTGAGAGGGTGAAGTAGGAGTGATAGGTTTTCAGAGGAACATTGTTGTTGAAACACTGAGTTTTTTCTTCACGGCACTAGGGACTGAACCCAGGGTGCTCTGCCACTGAGCTACATCCCCAGCCTTTTAAATTTTCTACTTTGAGAGAGGGTCTTGTTAAGCTGCTGAGGCTGGTCTTGAACTTGTGGCCCTCCTGCCTCAGCTTCCCGAGTAACTGGGAAGTATAATTTAACTGTCCTGGGCTTTGGGAAGTTGGAGATGGATAAGGTGCAGGAGGACCAACAGGCTCCTTTCGCTGAACCTAGGGGGTATCACCACCTGTTCACATTCCCCAGAATTCACTGAGTATGTCCTTGACTGAGGGCCCCTGGAGCCTTCTCCTACAGTAGTCTGCGTGTTGTGGGTGAGACTGCAAGCCAGGTCTCGCCCACTGTCCTCCCTCCCCTCCCCAAGTCCTTACTGAGCACTTACTATGTGCTGGGTACTGCTACAGGGGTAGGAGCCCTCTCTCTGTGGAGCCCAGCTCCTGCCTGGAGAGGCAACCATTAAAACACAGACACATATTAACAACAGGTGTCTCCTCCCAAGGAGGAGCAGGTGGGGGCCCACTGTCTCCCACCCACCCTCACCCTCACCCTCACCCCACGCTGCCGTCACTGTGCCTGTGTGGGCTACAGGCCACCCTGTGAGGGAGAGTTCCCGCCTCGGCCTGGTGGAGCCAGGGAACATGGATGGAGGCTGAGGGAAGGGGGGGACAGGTCTGGTCCTGAGCCTCTGACTCGTCCCTTGCAGCCTGTCCCAGAACAGCATCACCGACGTGGGGGCCTGCAAGCTGGCCGAGGCCCTGCCCTCACTTGCTGCGACCCTCCTCAGGCTCAGGTGAGTGGGTCCTGGTGCCGGGCTGGCGGGCTGGGGTGACGGGACCCTGAGCCATAGCTCTCGGCCATGACGCTGCTGCCCCCAGTTTGCACGACACCAGGCGGGCAGCCAGCCAGCCCCGCTGAACAGGACTCCCTAGGGACGCGCATCACTGTGGCCCTGAACAGGAGGGTCAGCAGGACCCAGGGGAAGAATGGGGCAGGCCTTTCCTGGGTGAGCCTGTTTCCCCACCTGGAAAATGGAAACCCTCCCAGCGGCCTGTGCGAAGCGCCTGATGCAATGTCTGCGGGGGGCGGGGGGGGGGAGTGGCGCCTTCCCGACCCGAAGGCAGGACTGGGCTTTTCTGGAGTCCAGGGGTGGTGGCTCTGGAGGGAATTTGCTGGTCACTCTCTTGCCAGTCAGTCTTACACTGCCCCCTCCTGGTGGGACTCAGCACAGCACCTCATGCTGCTCACTGTGGTGTGGTACCAGAGACTGAGGGCCAGAGCTTGGGCAGAGCCACAGTCCTTCAGCTTGGCACAGCCAGCTCTCCTAGCTCTCCAGCCTGGGGGAACCTCCCTCCCCTTCCCCAGGCCTCCTCACTGACATCCAGAGTCACACTCCAGGGCAGATGGTTTCTGGTCCACTCCTAGAGGTGCACCCAGCAAGGAGCACAGGGTGCGGCTGAGCAGGTTGTGCACTGCACAACTCATAGTCCATGTGCCACAGTTGTGCCAGTCATCTAGTGTTCTCCAATGTGAGCTGGGGGCCAGAACAATGCTAGGAACGAGACTTTGGGTTTTCAGGGCCAGAAGGGCCTCCTGTGGTGGCCAGGTAAATAAGGGACAGGCGGCAGATGTGGTGGGAAAGGCCACCAGAGTCCCCATCGAGCAGAGGCGGCCAGTAGGCTGGACGCAGGCCTTCCTGTTTCTGCGATATGAGTGGAGGGGCAGGTGGGGTGGACGTCATGTTTTGTGGACTCTGAGATGCCACCCCTCCTGACACCGATAAGCGCAAAATGCTGCGACACACCCTGGGCTCCATGGGGCCAGAGGCCTGTCCCGACCCCAAGGTATCCAAACAGACGTGGCCTCTCGGCAGCAGAGACACGCAGCAGGGTCCCTCTACCTGCGTGGGAAGGAGGGGCTTCCTGGGTTCCCAAACCTGCCCCAGAAAGAGCCGCCAAGTCCCCGCAACCCTCCGCGTGGACCTGTGAGGCGAGGATTGGCTGGGATTCAGCCTGCATCTGCCCCGTGCTGTCACACGCAGCCTGTCACATGCAGCCCCGCAGGGCGCCTCTGAGGCTGAGCCACGGAGGAGGCACCCCTGAAACCAGAACCAGTGCAGCTCTGGCCTGGGGAAAGGATGCACAGGAAAGAGCGCACAGCGTCCCTCTGTGCCAGCGTCACCCACCACGTCATCTTTGCTGCTAGGAACGGTGGCCGGGAACGGACAGAAACCCAGGCTGGCCCAGTGACGTGGTCTTTCTCTGGCTATGCCAGCCCTGGCCACACCTCTGTGGTAACCCCTGTGAGCCTCACGGAGCACCTGTGGGACAGTCAGAATTAGCAGCCGGGCCCTCCTCATCTGCCCTTTCCCACAATGGCTCAGGGTGTCCATTCTGCAGACGAGCAACTGAGTCTGGGGAGTGAACAAAGCCACCTGAGACTGAAAGGCAGCCCGGGGCACGGATGGGCTCTGAGCCCAGGAAGTCCTTCTCCCAAGAGTTCCCACTCTCTCTGCCGGGGAGCCACTTCCCCTCGTGTGACCACAGAGAAGAGCCTCAAAACTCTGGCCTCAGTTTGCTCCTCTGTAAAATGGGACAGTGGTTCCAGCTGAGCGCCATCCCGCTGGCCCTGGCCCTCAGCACCTGAAGCCCTCCCGACCTCTCTCTCTGGCAGCTTGTATAACAACTGCATCTGCGACCTGGGGGCAGAGAGCCTGGCCCGCGCGCTCCCGGAGATGGCGTCCCTGCGGGTGCTGGAGTGAGTGGGCGTCCAGGCAGAGGTGGCTGGTTCTGGCCTCCGGCATCCCGGGAAGGGCTGGGTGTGGTGGCGGCCTGGGTCTGGAGCGGGGTGGGCCCAGGGGGCAGGGGTCAGTACAGGTTTCTCTCCCCAGCGTCCAGTACAACAAGTTCACAGCCGCGGGTGCCCAGCAGCTGGCCTCCAGCCTGAGAAAGTGCCCTCACGTGGAGACGCTGGCGTGAGTCTGGCTGGCCCCGAAGGTGGGATCTGTCGCTCTCGGGGGTGGGGCGGGGTGTGCCCAGAGCTCCAAGACTGCCCGGCTCCCCGGCTCCCCGGCCTGGGCCTCTTCACCTGTGGAGGGGAGGATGGCGACGTTGGAAGTTGAGTGAGCCAAGGTGAACAGAGCTCTCAGGAGTAGTTGGCCCACGACGGCATTCAGAATGCTTCCCCAGGCCGAACCGCGGGGACTGCCTCCGTCCAGCCCTCCTGGGCCGTGCGCCTGGCAGCTCCATGCTGCCCGACTTGTTTTTCTCGGGCCACATGATGTCGAGTGTCCGGTGCTGGTGCCGGCTGCTCTTCAGAGCACTTTGATTTCCGAGTCTTCCAAGATGGGTCGGGGGGCGCCTACAAGGTCCGCTTTACAGATGAGGAGGATAAGGTGCAGAGCCGTGGCCCACCTTTYGGGGTCACACAGCAGGTCAGCAGCAGAACCACAGAGGGGCTCAGAGCTCCCCCAGCCCCACGCTGGTCTGCACCCAGCCAGCGGGGAAGTGGCCCAGGTTCAGGGCTGGCAGRAGGAGGGATTTGGGGGCAGCTGGCCCAGGAGCCTGGACTCCTCGTGTCCTCTAGCCTGGTCACTGAGCCCCATCTCTCCCTGCAGAATGTGGACACCCACGATCCCCTTTGGTGTCCAGGAGCATCTGCAGCAACTGGACTCCCGGATCAGCCTGAGATGACCCTGGCTGTGCTCTGGACAAGGTGACCGGGGGGCTCGGGAGGGAGGGCGATGCCTGGGCTCAGTGTCCCTGTGAGGGTGGATCTCAATGGAGGCCCGGGTGGGGGGGACTGCGCCTGGGTCCATGCGTTACCAGCGCCCTGCCTGTGTCCTCCAGGCTGGGGACTTGGGCCACRGGAAGGCTTACACTCCAGGGAGGGTCAGGCTGAGCTGCCACCACACCTGCAGCCTTGGCRTTGGGAGCCCTTCCCTGGGGACTTGCGGGGCTCTCTGCTGATGGGTGGGCCTGTCGGCGCCCAGAGCCCTTGGGCTTATCCTAGGAACTCGCTCTGGAAGTTCCTGCTGCTCCACATGAGGACCACTGTCCCCTCACCCYGTGCTCCCTCCCCGGGCCCCGCCTGCCCTGGCTGTGCTGTAGTCACTCCAGMCCTCCCCCTTGTTCCTGGGGTCCCTCCTGCCCCGTTGGTGACACCCTCCTGAAGCTTCTGGCTACTCCCCCCCACAGCACGGACTCTGAGGACGCTGACGCGCTGGACCTGATCTGGGTTCCGTGGACCCAGCTCGTCTCCAGGCGCCCCATGAGCCTCGGCATCCTGGCCCCCAGCCCCTGCCGGCTCAGGATGGGYCCGTCCAGCTGGTGAAGGGACTCATCTTCGCGGGCAGGCCCGGGCCCCACCCAGGCTCCCCAGGGCCCAGGCACATGCCAGCCTGTTCAGCTGCTCTGAGCCCTGGTGGACAGACAGGTGGGCGCCTGGTGGCAGCCACGGCCCAYGCAGGAGGCCTGAGCCGTACCCTGTGCACCACTGGGCAGTCATGGCTAGGCCAGAGCCCAGGCCTGAGGCAGCTTCCTTGGGGCCCGCCTAGTGTCCCTGCTGCTCTCCAACAGGGCACCGATGGGCCACTCGCCACGTGAAGACACCAGCAGGCCACCAGCCTGCCAGTCCCCCAACCTGAGCAGGCCCGTGGCAGGTGCTCTGTCTGTGGTCCTCGCTGCTGCACTGACTTTTGGCCCAGGCCAGAGCTAGGCCCGGCCAGAACTCTGGACTTCAGCTGGAACAGCAAACCAGACACTAAGGGGGAGGGAGCCGCCTGGAGCCCTGCTCTGCCTCCCCCTGTGTCGTCCTTTCCACGCGGGGCCCGGCTGGCCCGGGGTTTGGGCTTACACCGTGATTTCCATTTGGGCATCCACCATCTGGTCACCCCCACCACGGCRGCTTCAGTTGGCACTCACACCGTTGGTCGGGAAGGACTTGGCAGGGACAGCTCGCCTGTGCCCCGTGGCATCAGCTGGGGCAGCTTGAGGGTCCCTTCCCCTCTCCATGGGGCTAGTCTGGGCATCCTCATAGCTGGTGGCTGGATGGCAGGGTGGTAGCCCAGAGAGAGAGAAGAGGCAGTGACAGAGGACAGGGAAGGGGAGCAGAGAGTGTCCCAGGACAGCGGTGTTCAGAGCATTGCTCTGCCACCTCATGTCGGCCACCAGCCAGCGGGACAGGGGCTGCTCTCCTGCCCACCACAGCACCGGCCAGCGTCCACCCCGCCCGCCAGCGTCCTGCCTGGTCTTTATGGCTTCCCGAGATTCAGGGAAACTCATTTTCCTGGGTTGGGCAAGGTGGCGGCACCGTCTGCCCCACAGAAGGGAGCTCCTCTGCCCCGCCCCGCCCCGCYGGAGCCTGCCCTCTCCCTGGGAGTGGTGTCCCCCTGGCTGCGGCAAGCCCAGAAGGGACCCCAGCTCGCTCAGCCGCCAGTGGGCCTGCTGCTCCTCACGCTGGTGTGGCCTGCTCCACGGGGACAATCTGCTTTCTCCTGGTGGCAGTGGAAGCTGATGGCTCAGCTGCAGCAGGCCAGCCCCCCGCCCACAGGGTCAGCCTGGTTCCCAAATGCTGCTCCTCTTCCCAGCAAGTGGGGGTGGGGCCAGCAGGGGCYGAGGACACAGCCAGCCCTGGGTAAACCTTGGTGACTCTGATTACTGTGTGCCAAGTGCCAGGCTAAGCCCTTCCTACCTGAAGGGACGGAGGCACAGCCCTCAGAAGCACAGACCTCTTGTGCAAGGGACTTCTCTGTGCCTCGGTCTCCTGTTTGTAAGATGGGCAGAGTCACAGCACCTCTCCACAGGGTCGTGGGACAGTCCAATGGTGAAGACATGAAGAAAGAGCCCGGCGCACAGCTCCCTGGGGCAGCTGCGTCTCACTCCCGCCTCATCCTTGAGGACTTAAAGCCACCAGGAAGGCCCCATGACCCCTCCAATCCCATCACGATTTTACCTTTTCTGCACTGATTTCTGCTGTCGGCTCTGGTCCTAGGGGGTGACTCCAGAAGGGAGGGACCCTCGCTTTGTCCACTACTGTACTCTGCACCCAGCAGGGTGCCTGTGAAATGGAGACTCCTTCTCAGCACAGCTTTGCCTGACTCSCCCTACACTGTACCCTGAGCGTGCAGGGGTGAGTGAGGGCTCGAGCTGCACGCCCTGGCGAGGCTCACACTTTAGCCAAAGTTTGCGTCTCTCAGGACAGGGCTGCAGGTGGGACTGGGTGGTCTGTGCAATGCACAAAACCGCTGGACTAGTGGTATCGGGGACTGCACACTCGTCAGGGCTCTGCTTACCAACCCCGGCGTCCTGGCGTGGGGCTGCAGCCCAGGGGAGGACGTTTCATGATGGACGTGAAGTCATCATGAGAGGTAAATATGTTAACCAGGCGTGGTGGCGCACACCTGTAATCCCAGTGGCTCAGGAGGCTGAGGTGGGAAGACTGCAAGTTCAAAGCCAGCCTCAGTAACTTAGTGAGGCCCTAAGCAACTTAGCGAGCCCCTGTCTCAAAATAAAATAAAATAAAATAAAATGGGCTGGAGGTGTGGCTCAGTGGGTTCAATCCTGGGTACCTAAGTAAATATTAAATAAATAATAAGGGCTGGGGGTGTAGCTCCATGGGTCCGGTGGTTCAATACCTAGTACTAACCAAGTGTGTGGGGGAGGTATGTGACTCTCTGTGTCAGATGTGGAGTGATGCTGCCATCATCACAATCCTATGAAGGAAGGAGTTGGGATGTCAACTCGCCCCTCAACTTCTCTGGGGATCTCTCTGGGGGTATGGGTGCAGTGTGCTGGAGGTAACCCCTGAGCCCCAGTAGCAGTGGGGGTGGTGCTTTGGTGTGACAGCATGGCTGCACGTGCCTCGGACGGACCTTCTCCGACCCCCTCTCCCAGGCCTCTGTCCCTCGGGTGCTCACCGCCTCCCGGCCCCAGCCGTCTTCTTCCGACACCTCTGCCCCTCCTTCCCTGAACTGCATGAGGACCAGGGGGCTGCAGCTGCGTCCTCTCGGCTTACTCTCCCTCCCGCAGCCTCCTCACCTGCAGAGGGAAGGTCCTCGCAAAGTCACCAAGTGCTCTGCAAATGGGAGAGAATTATGCCGCTCTCCCAGGAAGCTGCAAGCTGACCCAACTCTGCTGTTCACGTGGAACACCATGCTCACGGCTGGGTCTCCCACCCAGCACCCCGCCCCTCCTGCCCTTTGTGAACCCCAGGTTCTGCAGGAGGACCCCTTTCCCAAATCTCCAAGAACAAAACCCAGACAGGCCCCCAAGGAAATGAATTGCATACATTTTTTAATGGAAATAAGAGCGCATCCTAAGTATTGCTTTTACAGGTATATCGCAACCAAGTATTCACACCACCCACATTTTCAAAAATATATTTCTGGCCAGAGGAGCATCGTGGCCCTGCTCCAGCACAAGGCCTCGGTCCTGCCAACTCAACGAAAACCAGCCACTTGAAAGGAGCAGTCAAACCTGCCCTGTCCCCAGGTTCCTGGGCTGCTGCTCCTGGGCTACTCCCTAAACAGTCGCTGCACCCAAGACCAGCCTCAGGCTAAACCCAGACGGCTGAAGGCTCCACTGGCATCGAAGGAGCCCGGAGCCCGGAGGTGCTCTCTCCGGGGTGCAGCGGGGAAGCAGGTGCCGCCAGGTGCAGACTCTGGCTGTGTCCCGTAAACATCCATCCCAAGGCCAGGTCCTCTGCTGCGGCTCAGGTCTTCGGGGAGCCCCCCCGGGCTTGGCCCTCCTCGGTCTCCTTCTGCTCGCTTGGGGCGGGTCACGCAGCTCTTTGCTGGCACAAAGCCTTCGAGGGGATCAGACCTGAGGAGGAGAAGGGGCTTTGCCAGCGAGGAGGCGCTGCCCTGCCACTGGCCAACCTGCCAGGCCTCCTGCAGCCCTCCCACTTGGGGAACCACCAGAACCCCGTGACTGGGCTGGGGTCATTTTACGGTGATCTTTATTACAAACTCTTGATGAGTTCACATGGTCCCTGAGAACCCAGGCGAGGGAGGGGAGCAGTGCTGCGGGGATGGGTCGCTGCTGTGGGGAGGAGCAGGCCTGGGGCGGGCGGGCGGGCGGGCTGGGCAGCTCTCCCACCTTGCCGGAAGGTGGTGGCTCTTTGGCCACAGCCAGGGCACTCAGTGGAGGCCCAAGTTGGCTCTTCCTCCCAGGACATGGCACGTCCCTTCGGCCCAGCCCTGTGGCAGGCCCTCTCCTTCCTTCCCCCCCTCTGTGCCAGCTGGGTGCCAGCATCTCTGCAGCACCTGGGGTTCCCAGCCCCCCTCCTTTGAGCTCTCACCAGCCCTGCCCTGGTTCTCCAGAATCAGTCAGAACTCTCAGGTTGCACGTGCAGTGTGTGTCCTTCAGCAGGGCACTGCTGGCGTCGGGCCAGGGCATTTTTTTGGGGTCCTGGGGATTGAACCCAGGGTGCTTTCTCACTGAGCTAGGATCCCAGTCCTTTTTATTTTGTAACAGGGTTTCGCCGAGTTGCTGAGTCAGGCCTCACACTCATCCTCCTTCTGCTCAGCCAGGTGTGTGCCACTGTGCCAGTGGGGCAGGACAGTTCTTGGATGTGAGGGGACCGTTTCTGGGCATGGCTTGCTTACTGGCATCCCTTGTCTGTGACCACTAAATGCCAACAGCACTTCCAGCTATTGTGATGGCTAAAAATGTCCCTGCCCCATTTCCAAGGGTCACCTATAGGGACAGAACCGCTTCCACTGAGAACTAAGCATCATTTTACAGGCTAAACCCGAGGCCCACGGAAGCACAGTGACCTGCCTAGAGTTGGACAACGCAAGAGGCAGGGCTGGCGCTGCACAGTGACGACTCTGGGAAGGAAGTGAGCACTTGGTGAGCTCTTCCCGGGCGGGCCTGGCACTCACCCTCCCAGCACCCTGGCCTGGTGGCTGCCAGCCCAGCGCCCGCCTGTCTGAGCCTGCTTGGCCCTRGGCTGCCAGAGCTAGTGTCTCCCACGGCTGCCCTCCCCTGGGGAGGACCTGCAAGGTGCAGGATCCACACCCCGCTCCCTCACCAGAGGCTGGCCAACTCTGAGGCGCATTCTGCATTCACTCTGGTTCCCGAGTTCTGGAGTAAGACCAAGCTAGGACACAGGGTACCCTACTCAATGACATCGCTTCCTGGTCTCTTCCCTTTCCTGGCTCACTTCCCACCTGGGATCGTCTCCCAGATCAATAACCTGCACTTGAGTCCCTGTCGTCTCAGTCTGCGCCTGGGAGAGCTTGCCAAGATGGCGCGTTACATGGCCGTTCCATTCCACCCGCTGTCCGCCTCCTGGGTGAGGGACTATGCCATTTGGTCCCAGAGCCCATTCCAGGCGTGTGGACCAGGTGCTGGAGGCCTCACCCCTCGCCTCGTGACTGCGACAGCTGCTGGCCAGGCAGGGGCTCCCCGCACACGTCACAGGAGCTCACCCCCAGCCTGTGCAGGCCCTGCCCAGCCTGCGGCTGGGACTCCCGATGCCCCCCGTCTCACGGTATCCACTGGCCGGTCGCCTGTTATGACGAGGCCAGGTCTCCATGTCTTATAGTATCATAAAGTTCTTCTGTTTTCAAAATACTTATTTCACTCTACAAAGAGCTGACTTAGCACCACCAAGTAATAATAGTGCAGGCAGCAGCGCAGAGGACATGACAGTGTCACGGGAGGCCTGGGAGACCCTGACCCCAGTTGGTTCCCCTCCACAGCTGAGAATAAAGGGGCCTGATGAGGGCGGTGATGTGCCTCACGTCACACAGAGTTGAGGAGTGACGTGATCCRTGGTCCTAGGTTTCAGTGCATGTGGCTGGGGATGACCCGGGAACAGTCTGACTTTCCTGTCACCCGCTCTGGCTGCGGTAGATCAACCCCCTGGTTACTCTGGCTTGCAAGTGCAGCTTGGCAACCCCAGTGACAACCACCGTGGAGGCTGGCACTCTCCAAGTGCTCCCAGCCTTTCCCTGGCGAGGGCAGCTGCTCTGATCCTCTTGGCTCACTTACTCCTGAAGACACCCTCGGAGGTGAGGCCAGGGGGCCTGTCACCTGCATTTTGGACGGGGCTCAGAGGTGAAGAAAGGTGTGCAAGACCACATGGCTTGCAAGGGACAGYGCTGGGGTTTGAAACTCCCACGTGTTGGACATGGTGGAGCACGCCTGTAACTCCAGCAACTCAGGAGGTTGACACAGGAGGATTGCAAGTTCAAGGCCAGCCTCAGCAATTTAGAGAGACCCTAGCTCAATAAAAAGGCCTCCAGCCTGGGCACAGTGACACAGGCCTACAATCTCAGTGGCTGGGGAGGCTGAGGCAGGACGGTCATGAGAGTTCAGAGCCTGCCTCAGCAACTTGGTGAGGCCCTAAGTAACCCAGCGAGACCCTGCCTCTAAACAGAATATTAAAAAGGGCTGGGTGTGTCTCAGTGGGTAAGCACCCCTGGGCTCAATGTGGTACCAAAAAAGATTAAACAAATAAAAAGGGAAGCGTGCAGCTCAGTGATAGAGCACCCCTGGGTTCAGTCCCCAGTACCAAAAAAAGAAAGAAAGAAACTTAGAAACTTCCGGTCTGATCCCAAACTCCTCTCAGCACCTGAGGTCCGGCGTGGCAGCTGAAGAGCAGCCTGGAGCTGCAGCTGTGGGGTCCCAGCAGCTCTCCACGCCTGGCGACTGCACTTCAGCTCTCTGTGGCCACACCGGTGGCCGTGCCATCACACGTGTGCACGGGGTGAGAACGCCGTCTCTTCCCACCATCTCTCGTGTCCCCCGCCCTCCTCCCGCTCCCCCGGCCCGTCCCCGGTTCCTCCATTCTTCCCTTTAACCTCAGAGCTAGTCTGCTGGGCCAAGGCCACCGATGCTCTATCATACGGGAGTCCTGGGTGCCTGGCCACCAGAGGGGACCTCCTGGACACGACCATCTGGGAGATGGCCAGGCTGGATGGTCTAAACCAGAGGAAAGTGAGTAGGAGAAGGTGCAGAGATTGTGAGATACAGGCACCCTCTTGATAGTCGGAATGCAGAGAGAAAATGCCTGTGAGAGCAGACAGACGGGYCACGGCCGCTGGCTTTTGGTTTCTTTCTGAAACTGCAACCTTCCATTACATCATTGCAGGCCGTTCCCCAGGGCTGGACCCAGGGAGCGGCTGGCGGCTCTTCTCTGTCAGGATGACACTGGGAACTGGATCTGTCTGAAGGACTCCTACATGAGGACCTGGCCTACGTTAGGAGATTATTCTTGTGTCTTATGGGTGCAGAGGGCGATGCTCTSAACGTGTTGGTGGGGGTTCTTCTGGGCAGTTCTGTGGCCCACCAGCTGCTCCTCTGGAATAGGCTTGTCTGGGCCACTTCCGGCTCTCTCTTCCTGTGCGACTGCAGGCAAGTCACCCAATCTCTCTGGTCCATTCCCTCATCTAGAAATGGGGTCAATGCCCATGTCATCAAACACACACAAGGCACCAGCCCCTTCCTGGGTTCATCCCCAACAGTGGCAGGGAGCCCTCTCAGTGCTAGGAGACCCTGACTTCTAGGACTACCACTGTGCACCTACTGGATGACCAAACCTAGTTGGTGAAGGCATCACCCAGACATGACCTGCCGTGTCTCTGCTGCTGTGCGGCCATCTGGGGCCTCCATCCTGGGAGTAGGTAGTGCAGCAAGGGGGCCTTCACCTCATGTCACTGCCAAGGACATGGTTGGGACCTGGCCATCTCCCTGGCAGCTGCAAGGGCCCGGAAAAAGGAGGACTGTCTGTCTCTGCAAGGGTCCATGTCCCTGGGGGAAGCCAGTGTCATGGATAAATCAGGGCCATTTCTCAAGCTTGGGTTCTGATGTCTACGCTTGTTATCAAGTTCATCGGCCTAGGTCTACAAAGTGCCTCCAGGCGGTGCCTGCCCAAGACTTGGGAGCCTTCCTGAGTCTTGTCAATCCAAGAATCACCTGGACATTACAGCACAGCTTGAGTGTCCCTCTCCCAAGTGCCTGGACTACAGTGTTTCATATTTCAGATCCTGGTATATTTTCATGAACAAAATGAGTTATCTTGGGGATGGAATCAAAGTAATTCCTTTAGGTTTCACCTGTGCCTGTTACATAGTCTGAAGGTAATCTTAAAGGCTATTTTTAGTGCACCTGCATTCTGACTGCACGCAGGTCAGGGGAGGAATACTCTACTTGTAGCAACATGCTGAAGCTCAAAAAGTTTTGGATTTCAGAGCATTTCAGGTTTTCAGATCAGGGATGCTCAACCTGAATTTTAAATTGATGTAGTTTCTGGGGGGATTCTGGGGATTGAACCCAGGGGTGCTTTATACTTGATCAATGAGCTACATCCCAGCCCTTAAAGTTGCTGAGGCTGTCTTTGAACTTGATATCTTCAGCCTCTTGAGTTGCTGGGATTGATTACAGGAGTGCACCACTGTGTCSAGCAATGCACATCTTTTTTAAACTAAAGTTTAAAACCCCTTCATGTCACTATGATAAAAAACACTCTCACCTGTCGTAAACAGAAGGCAATGCTAAAAATACAGTAAGGATTAAACCACTAATTCTGGCTCCAGGTCCTTGGCTGCCCCATTGGTGTGGAGCTGGTCAAAAGGGGAAAGCACTGGTTCCCAGGAGGGTTGGGGCACCGCAGGCTCTGCTCTGTCACCTCTTGGCGCTGGATATCTGGGAGGCCCGACGCGGCCACCTCATAGCTGGGCATCTGGGGCGAGGCCTGAACCTCCCCAAGCCTCAGTTTCCCTCCCTGTGTAATGGAGCTAATGAGCCCTGCCCAGGCAGCTTCAGGGTGACTCAGGTGAAGCTAGGGAGGTGGGAGGGCGGTTATTTTTAAC